GCCGACCTTCACCGGAAACCCTAGAAAAAAAAAGGATAAACTTTGGAAGATCCGTCGGTGTTCTGTTCCACTTATGTTCAATGTGATTGTTTTTTCCGGTATGGTTAAAGCCTACGGATTTTGGGGTTTTTTTTTTACATCTTGCATTTTGTTTTCGGAATTTTGCTTTGTTTAGTGGGGGAATTGCTTTTAGGGAGTTTTGTAATGTGGGTGTAAAAAATGTTGGTTTTTTTTTTTTCAGGATGAATTTTGTGGGTTTTCGTTGTAATCACCATGGATGATGATGATGATCTCTGGGGTCCGCCATTTGGTACATTGTTTGGACCAATTCTTAGTGCTGTTTTGTGTTTCTTGTCTTTGTGACTGATGCAAGTGGGTGTTTTGTTCTTCTTCTTCTTAGTTGTACAAGACGATACTTTTCGCAAGCAAACCTTTCTACGAGGTTGTGAATTTTGGTTTGATTACAGAACAGGTATTACCGAGGATTGTTTTGATTTATGTATCATTTGTTGTGTGATTCACTTTGAGAATAATCTGTTGTTTCTTTTTGGGTTTCCAATGGTTGTTTTTTAGATGTGCTCGAAGAGAATTTTCAGAACGAAAGGTATTGTGAGCTAGTGTGGAGGATATTGAATGAGAAGAAGCAAATTGTTGAGATTGATGAGCTTGACAAGGATATGGCTTCCTCTGGGACCGGTGATTCGCGCGATATTGGCTCTTCTGATTCGGTAATTTTGATGAGTTAAAGTCATCTTTGTCTGATTTATATTCATAATTTGATTATGAGTTGCTTTGTTATGTTGTTCTACAGGACAAGACCCGCAGTGCTGTTCTTCCAGATGCTGACACAAGTTCTGGAAAATCGGCTCTCGATGAGGATGAAAACACATCCGGTATCAGCGATGCTCAAACTATCGAGACCAGAGATTCTAGTACCGACATTGAAGAAATAGACTCAGAAACAAGGTTAAAGCCTCAGGAGACGGCAGCAAATGACCCACCAACAGTTGAGGTCTGTCAAGATTTCTTGTTTTGTGTAACCATAAGACTCTTGCTTCGTGCAACTTTTGCTTTTCTTGTGCTAAAGACGCATATGCGCAGCTCGGATGTTTTGTAGTAAGATGCTTTGTTTTTTCAAATTATGGACAGGTTGCAGAAGATGCAGACACCTCTTCAAGCCCTGTGTTGGCAAACAAGATAGATGAAGCTGAAGAACATTCTTGTTCATCCTTGGTTACTGATCAAGTGTTTGATCCTATAAAACTAGCCCCCGAGAACAAATCTTCATCTCCTATAAGCCGAGAGAATATTGGAGGTTCCACTGTGAGGCCCTTGGCCTTAGAGACCAGAGAAAAGGCAAATGCTACGAACGAAGATGGAGAAACGTTGAAAGATCATCAGCAAAGCAATAGCTTCCAAGACGTCATAACTGTTTCTGAACCTTTTACCACAGAGTCTCTCTTAGAAATGTGTGATGAACCGGACAAAGGCAGAGAATCTCCATGTGATAAGAGAAGCAAAAGATCACATCCTGAAGCTGTGAAGACTGTCGTTAAAGACGAGCTGATCATAAACTTGCTTAATGAGACAAGAAAAAAGGCAGAGAATAAAGCATTGTTGAATCCTGGTTCAGTCTTAATAAAGAAGAGAGAGAGCAAATCTAACAGCAGCGACAATAAAGGCGTGAAAACAGGTTTTATCAGAACCACCAAGCAGAAACTAGAAGGTGAAGCTGGAGAGATTAATATTGTTCCAGTGAAAAAATCAACCCAGTCAACGCCTAAGATCATCAGGGGTGGTTCAAATGTTCCTACACAGCATACAGATTCTATGTTGGATTCGATAGACCGAGTTATCGAAAGAGGTGGTGAGACCATGAGTGACTCAGTGATCTCGATAAGCGATTTGAAGAACAAGACAGGAAAGGAATTAAGAAGCATAGGAAAAGAGCTGAAAGTTACACATTACTATAAGCTCAAGAAAGAAGAACTGCTTCAACAGATAATCATGCAGCTAACCGAATGTACAAAGCAGAGAATGGAGACATAACCAATCTCACTGGTATAGTTAACATTTAGACCTTACGGAGCAGTCCTCCTTTTTATCTCTTTGACTCTATGGTACAACCATTAGGTTGAATAATCATACGGGGCTTGCTTGGCTTTAGAGTGCAGTGTTTCAGATTAGTCTAAAGTAGAATGCTTATTGGGATAATGAAGCTAATATTTGCTTGGTAAAAAAAATGTGTTTCGTTCTTTAAGTAAATTCTTTGAAGCAAAGAAAGTTCATTGATCATTAAGAAAAGGTTACAACAGTACAAGGATTGTATTGACTCAGAGACTGAACAAGAATCCATTTTAAGACATGACAGATGTGAAACTAACCCTTCGCATTACAAGTATCTCTACGTAATCAGATCCAACAAGTCTGGATTACATGAAGCCATGACTGAGACTAATCAAGGCTGGTCAAGAAGAGAAGGCCTGTAGAATGCATGGCTCTGTGCAATCTCGATACGGTCTCTAGGATCATTCAATGTTTCGTCCCTTAACGCTTGCAGAATCGCTTGTGTTGATTGTTCTCTGCAAAAATTTCAGACACAAAATTGAACAAACAGAATTCATTAGAGAATGGAAGAAGCAAGTTTCAATGTCTCACAAAGTCCCAAGACATTCCTGAAAACTAGAAATTTGATTTCCCATCATGTCACACCAATTATCTGACCAACCCTTATGAAAAAGCTCAAACATTTTGGAGATTAGAAGCTTTGAGATTTGATATTTACCTTGTGATGAGTATCTTGTAGAGTGTCTTCAAGATAGGACATGATTCGACCGGGGCTACCGGTTTCTTCTCTTCAGAGTGCAATATGCTTAAGCTAGACTGACTAAGCAATTGATAAAATGCTCCCACTGCAGAAACACCCTATTCAACAAAAAACCAGCATTCAAATATAGCAAATAGACATTACAAAAGTTCCAAACTTCTTGTTCTCGTGAAAGATAGAGTACCTGAATCATTCCCTTCCCGCTTATGCTATCACCCATGTCTCTATTTATTTCCCCTTTCGCCAACATTTGACCGTACCACGCATTACGCCCTTTTAATAAGGTCACATAAGTGTCAGCTAGCAAAGGCCCTGCAAGTTTCTCAGGTTCTTCTGCTAGTAAATGAGTTATAAATATCATCTCAGATGTACAATGAGCAAAATACACCGACTTGCTTGTAGCACTTTCGTTAGTGAGCGCCGCTACCATTCCTGAAAAAAACAACAAAACGAGAAGGGTCAAAGCGTGAAAACCCGAGGTAATCACTCAAATCCTTGTGTACACACAGAAACTAACCAGCTCCAATGGCATAGACGTTCTTGAGACCTCCCATTACTTCATGTGTCACAAGATCACTATTGTCCCAAACAATGAAATGAGGTTGTCTTAGAAACTTTGCTAGTGGCTTCCTCCATTTTGCAGCTCCGCAGATTCTAGCATTAGCATATTCTTTATTGTAAATTTCAGCAGCAATGTTCGGTCCACCAAGATACAGTACATTGTCAATAGGCACACCAGCTACCACAACCACACAACAAATCAGAACCAAGCAATATGTATCAAATAGACTCAATACAAAAGAGGCAAATCAAGAAGCTTACTTGCTTGATGAATCATCTTTGTTGGAGTTATGATATGTGGAACTGGTTCAAGAGCCGTTTCAATACCTTTAGACAGAGAGATAATAATCGGTTCCGTGATTCTCTCTTTCCAATACTTACTAATCTCTTCAAAGACTTCTCGTGTTTCGGTTGAAGGCAATCCATTAACAACAATATCAGCATCCCAAACAGCTTCTTGAAGATTTGTCACAACTTTGAGAGGACAAAGAGGAGTATCAACCATGTTAAGACAAAAACCATCTTTCAATATCTCATCCGCATAAAGCGTCCTATCACCGAGCCTAGCCTCGACGTATTTCAGATAAGCGCATCGTCTTATCAATCTCCTTAAGATATCTTCCCTCGAATTGATCACTTCGAACAAATGCTCTGCTGTTTCTCTATCAACAGCTTTCCCTGCTCTTCTCCATATCCTAATCTGAAACTTATCCCTAAAACCTCCATAGCTTTCTTGGAGTAATGCTGCAAAAACACTTCCCCAAGCACCAGCACCAACACTTACAACCCTTAACGGATCTTTGTCTGATTTCCCCAATAGACGACGAAACTCATCAAGCTTCTCTTCCAAATTAAGACCATTATGTTGAACAGAACCATTTGATCCTAAGCTCTTGACCTCAATACTTCCCACCATTTTTTTTTCTTTAGTCTCCACACCAAGAAACTCAACACAAACCAAAGGCAGTGACTACAGATTTATATAAATGGGTTTGGATCATATAGAAGAAAGAAACCAATCAGCTTCTTCTCGCTCAAAAAGAATAAGATTTTCTTGTTTCACTAACTCAGATTTTCTCACCAAACAAATTTGAGTTTCTT